GTACTGTATAATGAAACTATAAAAAATTATGGAAAAATCAATTCAATACTCTAATGTGACTTAGAAATAAAGAAAATATAATACTGTACATGTATTGTGATGGGAACTACAGTAGGTAGTCAGCTCGTTCAAGGAATGAGTTATTCATTATGTTTATTCTTTTTCATCTTACATGTACGTACAGGTACACCACCGATTATCCGGGAACTGATGGTCCAGACAAAATTATGAGGGGGCACTTAACTTCCCATCCTCCCTCCCAGCCTGGGTGAAGCTAGTTTTAAGCTTAACTCTTAGGCCCCGGGTGACGTTCCAGAACGTCCGCCAAATTCCCCCCCCCCCCCTTGAAATTTTTCTTAATTTATTCCCACACGGGGGGGGAGGGGGGGTTGTCACTGCCAGCAGCACCCTAACCTGGGGCTTAAGGGTTAGAGTTTTTATCTTATAAAATTTCGCATACTAGACTTAGCAGAATATAAATTGCATTGCTGGAATCCTTGTAATATAGTGATTAATTTGAGTATAAACATCAAACATCACATAGTTTGCACTAAACATAAATTTTTTAGTCTAGTGTACAGTAGTACAGTACATTTGAGTACAAAGTGTGGACAGTAATGTTGCTCAAAATTATGGCTTTTTCACATTTAATTTACATTTAATATTTGTTTAATTTAAGTTTCTAGCAGTCCATGGTGCAAGGCTTTGGAACCAAGGGTGCCGGAAAATCGGTGGTGTACCTGTATTATGTTATGTTTGTACAGCTGCTCCTTGACTTAGGGACCCAAATCCAGGTCGTAAGTCGAATTGGTGGTAAGTCGAAAATGCTTAAATAATACATAGAAAATTTAAAATGGGTGTTTCTTTTTCTTCTCAGCACCACAAAACTCTCACTTTTAAGCTTGCCAGTCATTTTAAAGTGAATTACAAACGAAAATTTTGTCAGTACACAGTGCAATCACTAAATTTGGGACTCGAAAATACGTAATTTGAAAATATTTTGGTACAACTGAGGCGGTCTTATGTCCGGGTGGTCGTAGGGCGAGTATGTCGTAAGTTGAGGAGTAGCTGTACTATGTTTGTTTGTTATATGTATTGTTGTAGGTTATATAGTATATTGTTGTATTGTAAATTATGTATTATTTGTGTCAATGTTTACATCCATGTACTGTACTGTGTAATAAACAACCTGGCAGCTCTGTGAGGTTAGTTGGTAGGTCTACTAGCAGCTGTGACTCACTCACTCCCCTGGCTTCTTGACGTGCTGTTGATCTGCCCTGTGCTGTGTACGCGTATACAGTGTCTCTGAGGGTTTTGTGTTTGTGCTACTGTGGTCAGCTCACAGCTAAGTTTTCTTTGTGTATATGGATTATAATTAGGATTATAATTATAATGTATATTGTTATAGGTAACACTTATTTCATGTGCCAATTGTAAGATTAGAGGTTCTTGTCTTTTTGTCCCTGGTGTTGTTTCTCAGTTGTAGTTGATGTACTTTCATTTTCACCTTTCTGTTTATATAGTGTTAATATGTTTATACTTAATATATTTTAGCAGTTTCTAGTGTATTATGAATATTCTTATTCCCTGTTGATCTTCCCTTGTGTTTTCATGTTGTGGAACATTATAATAATTCCTAGAAGAGTATGTCCCATAACAATATAAAACTATAAAATAAGAAATATGAAGAGCATGAGTGTGTATTCTGGCAACTAGGCTGGTTAAGCATATTTCAGTTTAGGGAGACCGTGGCCAGTTCACTCTATGCTGTATTTATTGCTGTCATAAAAAGTATAATAAAGCTTAAAACAGAAAATAGAACTATCATTAATGCTGCCAGAAATAATTTGTATTTTCACGATGCTGTTGAAACATACGTACATGTACAGTAACTCAAAACATAACACACATGGCAGTCAGCTGTGGGCTATGAGAGATGGTAATGCATGTTGTTACATGCAATGAAACTATAAAAGTTGAGGAAAAATCATTTCAATACTCTAATGTGACTTAGAAATGAAGAAAATATAATATAAAACTATAAAATAAGAAATATGAAGAGCATGGGTGTGTATTCTGTGTGAGAGGTAATCACAAGTGTAGAAGCAGTGAGAAGTTTGTCAACAGCACATCTGGCAGCTAGGCTGGTTTGGCCTATTTCAGTTTAAATGCCACCACACAACCATCTCTGCTGTATGAAAATCTCAACACTAACCAATCATCCTGGATCTTCTTGCTATGATGACAATGATGATTAGTACGGATCCCATATAATGAATGATATGCAGATGAGCATGAGACAATACAATAAACATGAAATAACATAATTAAATAAATATAAACATGAAATAACAAATATTCTGTACTGTACTAAAGTTTTGACTCCCTTTTGATCCCTGGCAACTCTCCCCTTGCTGTAGATAAGGTGAATGATGTTTATGATTATGCTGATGAAGATGATGACTATGAAGTTGGGGAAGACGATGATGGTGATGATGTTCACTGCCCCTCACCTTCATCTGCCTCAACAGGGAAGGCAGGGATGGCAGGTAAGAGTGGTGGGGAGGAGAGAGTTTGGGGGTCATCCTCATGTTCAGTTGAAGAGTAGAGGGCATTGGTATGATACAATGGCAGTGGCAGGAGTAACTGGAGTGGCAGGGGTAGCTGGAGTGACAGAAGATACAGAGGTGGCTTGAGTGGCCGAAGATTGAGTTGAAGCTGGTGTTTTGGGAACTCCAAAGAAGAATAGCGTGATAGGGAGCCGAGATCTCTGCCGCTTTAGATTTTTGTAGATTTCATAGTGGTACTAGTACTTGGTCCACACCCTTGTTTATCTTCAGTGCTTGGTCTAGAGATGAACCTAATTCCAGAAGTGCTTCTTTTCTTTGCATGAAGAATGAACAAAATAAAATAAAATAAAATAAATAATAATAATACTAATAATAATAATAATAAACATGATTTTCTCTAATGTCCAGATGTTTTCCTCAAAATCAACTGGACCAATATCTCATTCCTGATGATCTTGCTCATCTTCTTTTAGTAAAAAACAAGTTCTTCATTTGGTAACTCTTCTCCAGTGTTTCCAAGCAGTTCTTCTCTGATTTCTCCTGCTTGCATGTCACCAAATCCCTCCTCACTTGTACCATGCACGTGATCTGGAGCTCCACTGAGGGGAAGCCAGTGAAATTATTCACTGCTTCAGGCCATAGGGCCTTCCAACAGGAGTTCACACACTTGCTAGTGATTTCATCTTGACTCAGTTTAACATTTGCTATGCAGTCAGCAATGGTGTAATTTTTACACCTATCCTTCACCCCCGCCTGGCCACCTTCTTCCAGTACCTCGTGGATCTTGGAAAAACTGTGAGTGAGGTAATATGACTTGAAGACAGCATTTATTCCTTGGGTAAAAGGCTGAATAAGAGACGATGTGTCCTTTGGCACTCAGATTTTTTCAATGGCAGTCCGTGAGTTCTGAGGGATGCAGGCTTTAAAACAGCGAGCTTTAAGGGAATACATGTACTCCATATTTTTTTAATGGAAAGGATATCTGTACAAAGCCTTCCACTGCTATTTTAACATCCACACCCCATACAGAATCGAATCCTTCACAACATGTATACAGTATTTATAAACTGTATGTACAGTCATCCCTTGGTTATCACGCCTAATTGGGACCGTGCCGAGTGCATGATAACGAAAAACGTGATAACGAAGTACAGAACCTATGGGATTTATTCTAATTGGTTCCAGGCACCCAAGACCCAACTACAATTTTCCCATTTTATGACCATTTAGACCCACTAAAGATATAGATAATGTTATGGTAAGTATCAGAAACACATGGGCATGGCTAGGTTTATTACAAAGTGATGAAAAGGGTACACTCAATACTATAGTCCACAAAACATGTAGCTATGCTTTCTTTATTTGAGTCCCCCATCTGAGGAGTCCGTTTTCTCATCGCTTCTGGACACATGAGTCCTGCGTTTTCTCTCAAACTTAGAGTGCACCTGAGACTTCGTTATTCCTTAGTAATGACACAGAATTTGAAATTGCAACTGGGGTTGCAATCGTAGAGACAACTTAGATATGTCTGATTACAGCAAATGTGTAATTGTCAATTTGTAGGTGAAGGATTTTATCCTCAATAGATGTAGGTGAAGCAAGGGGGTAACATTACACCTGGAGGCAACTGCACGATAACTAAATTCTCGGCTTGAAAATCGTGATAACCAAGTGCGCTATAACCAAGGGATGACTGTATATCTATATCAGGCTGTGCAGATTAACAATATCCAGTAGCCCAGCCATGCCTAGACTTGGGGCCAGACAAGTGATTTTCCATGTCCATGTGCTGGCACTTCCCCAGTGAACAAGTTAATATTTTGAAAGGTAAACACCAACAGCATGCCTTTCAAATTCGCGGGGGTTAGGTTCTCAAATGACAAGCAAATTTACTCCAAAAATTTGTCAGGGCAAGTAAAAAAGATAATCAGACCAGTAGTTTTCAAAAGTCACTTGCCTGGGACAAGTAAGTGTTCTACATAATCTGCATAGCCTGATATACAAAAAGTCAAACAGCCCCTTTTTAGTAAGAAATTTGAAATTTCAGATCAAGTACAATATTTCAGAGTGGGAGTGAAAGTTTGATCATAAAAAATTATGCCACCATGGGCAAAGCCAGGATACCACACAGTCGTGAGATTTGGCTGCCAATCTAGTGTTAATATTTAATACTTTTACACAGCTCTCACATCCCTATTTGTGCTGTTATATCAAATCCATAGCCTCTATATATTAAAGTGAATATGGTAAAAGCTCTGTTAAAGGTCAAATATAAAAGTGTATGGGGAGATAGCAGAGAGAATCCATCACCTAAAAACACACACCTGCTTCAGCCAATCATGGCAGGGACCAACTGGCTACAAGTATTGTAAAAGAAACAGCTGAGTGTATAAAAGAATAATGGTGTAAGCAATACAGCATTTGACATACCTCCTGGTGCAGCCCTAAGATGGAGGATACCGCTGTAACGATGCCCTTTGTTTGGTCTTTAAGTCTCTTGTTTTCTTCATCTAGTACTTTTAACTGCTGCTGTAGCTCCAGTGTTTGTGTTCCATGGGAAGAGTTTAACTCTCTTATTTTCTTTTCATGCCTGTAATATGGACAAATTAAACAAGAACAAAATATAATGTTCTACCTCAACTTCCTGTCCTTGTGCACTTCTTCATACCCACATTTCATCCTGCTCAAATACTCTCTTATTGTCCCACAACTTCGTGACAGTGGAAAATCATGACTCATATCAAACAGTACATCCCATTGTAATTCATAGCTTTGTCATGTACTGTATTATGACCAAAAATATATTAGGCTAAAAACAAGGAAAAATTACAATATATCTCACCCTTTCTGAAGGTTGAGATAGGCATGTTGGTGGCTCTTATGTTGGACTTCTAGTTGTTCCTCAAGATTCCTCTTCATGTTTATCTCCAGCTGGTTCAACTGTTCCTGAAATATACAGTAAATACCTTTTCCAATCTTGCAAGCCTTCTCCTGCTATACTGCTGGGTGGTTGAAACTAATGGTAAACAGACTATCTTAGCACAACTGATGCTATTTAAGGACTTTACTATGATACATATAGAGTAAAAATGGCAGGAATGGATGATTTCTGTGGTTCCTAGCACTTGACCCTTAATATTCCATTACTTGTTTGATTTTCAACTGTATAATTGTATAACCCCTTCACCCAATTTATATCTGAAAACCTTAACATCAATCACTTCTGTGAAAATTTAAGCCACATTCTCTTTCTCCAGGTCACGGCTTCTACCCTTCTCACTATTTGAAATTAATCCTTAACCACCAGATAATGATTCCCTACTTCTCCCCCCACCCACAAAACATGAGCTAAATTGAAGGCAAAAAACAGAAACTTACACATGTGATGGCTGCCATCTGTACGGCTAAGTTCCGTTGGTGATGGCTGCTGTTTAAGGGTTAACAACCTGATCAATAAAAATACCTGGATAGATTGAGATTTTTTGCCCATCAAGTCTTCCAACTGAGCCTGGTAGTGACGATGAAGCTCATTCCTTGTGGCTGTCACCTGAGAGGAGAGATTCTTCACCTGTTCCTCAAGTGATACCTGGAAATATCATATGAAATAAAATAATTTATGAACTTTAATGCAATATGAAAAAGATATGGATTTCTACTGTAACTAAATATTTTGTGATTTTAAACATGTAACAACTCTGAAAATAGGTACTGTACACAAATAGTTAAGTTGAAAAACAGGATAAATTTTGTCTGAGGAAACATACAAAACAAGGTAGTGTACAGTAATACCCCGCTTTACGCGGTTCTACTTTACGCGTTTCTACATTTACGCGGTACCCCCGCCAGAACCAAAATTCCCACTTTACGCGGTGCATCTACTCATATACGCAGGAAGCGGCGCGGGCAGGGTGCGCACAAGGTCGCCCAGTCATCAAAACATTACCGAGTTCTTCACCCGCCACCCACCACAGCCAGCCCAAGTCAGTGATAGTGAGGATATGGACTTATATGGACTTTGAGGGGTTTGACAAAGAGGCCCTGCAAGCTTCTGTGGTGGATAGTGATACAACTGATACAGGTGAGGGCCAATAATTTGCCCTCTGCCTCGGAACCAACCCTCCATCCCCGTGTGCCCAGCCATCTTTTCTACTAATGTAAGTGTTAAAAAACCTAATATTATTGATATTTCTCTTAATTATTAATTGTGTGTGCATACCATCATAAAATTAAGATGTTATTTTTACTACAACGTAGGTATTGCATCTGAAAAAGTGGAGATTCGGGGTTGGCCTAGTCTCTATTTCAATTAATTCCATATGTTCTGTTGTTCCATTTATGCGTTTCCCGTTTTACGCGGGCCTCCGCGGGTTCAGTTGACAGCGTAAATCGGGGTATTACTGTATTCCATTTCTTAAAGGTTACAATTCATGCATTTATTCATTTATTTATTTTGTGTATTCAGATCCTTGTCTGAGTCCTTAACAAATTCAAAACACTGTACAGTGGTCCCTCGGTTAACGAGCACAATTCGTTCTAGAAGGTTGCTCGTTAACCGAAAAATTCGTTAACCGAAACCATTGTTTCAATGGGTTTTTGGTTCCAGCTCACTGAAAATTGCCTAAAGTCAACAAAAAAGGTAGTAAAGTACACTTACCTTGAGGTGTGTATGTAAAAGGCTTCTGGATGATGATGATGATGGGAATTACAATGGGGGTGCAGGAAAAGGGAGAAGAGAAGGCATTGGGGTGGAAGAGAAGTCACCCCATGGCGCCATTTCACCCATAAAATTTTAGTTCACTTGGTGTAATTCAAGATTATTTTCTTTAAATCAACACTGCACTGCATTATATATTGTCAATATGTAAAATAAATTTCAAAATGACCAATAATTTGACTGGAAACACAGAAAAAAGCATTTATGTTGAAGAGAGTCTGAAGCAAGATGTTACCTCCACTGAAAGGACACAGAGACTAACGCCTGTATGGTGTATTGACAGGCTGTTTGGCGTGCTAAAAACTAGTTTCCCTGTACAGTATTTAAATTATGTTAAATAATTGTTAAAATGACTAAAAATTTTAATATAAGACTTTTAAAATTATTGAATAGTACAAACTTCTTGATATTTACTAAAATAGTGAGGAATTTAAGCCCTAGAACTGATTACTGTATTGGCGGACTAATATGACAGCTAGTGTGCAAGCGAAAACATGTTGAGGGGCGCTCGTAAGGAGTAAGGAATTCGTTAATCGAGGGAATGCTCGTTAACCGAAGTTAAGAATCTTATGGAAGGTAATTCGTTAACCGAAATTTCGTTAACCGAGGGATCACTGTACAGTACTGTATCATAATTTCTAGATTTTGCACCTGAGATGTTTCTACAAATTTTACTTTTTTCAGGCCCTTCCCATTTACTGTACAGAATTTTCTGGCCCAAATGGACAGTTTTCAGTTGACGGTGATGCACAAAAGCCAATAGTGTAAATGGTATTTTGCAATCTGAATTCACAATTGAAAAATATGAACTAACAAATACAGCAACAAATTATGTAGGGACATATACTTTAAGTTCAAGCATTCACTGTGTTAAGTGTGTGAATGAATGCTCTAACCCAAAGTACTGTACAGATGTCTCGTATGTTATCTAATATACTATAGGACTAGGCATGTGTCTGTTTGTGTGTGTGTGTGCCTGTTATGGGCAGCCGAAATGGCACAATCGTTTTTCATCAAACTTGGTGGAAAAATCGCAAAACATTTGAAGAGCAGAACAAACCTGGTTCCATGTCGATGGTTTCTTTAGGAAGGCATTAGTTAACAATTTTATTTACGATGGAAAACGATGCAAGTCTACGGACTTGGCGCACCCTAATTAACCTTGTTGTGGTGACTGCTGTCAGCTGGAGAAGTAAGTTGCTACCACCAGAATCCACACAAAAAATTTTTATAATTTCGGTGAAGTTTTTTGTTCTATATCACATTTTTTTTCTTTTGAAAATCTTTATAAATTAAACATAATTCCATAAGGGCAAATACAGTAGAGTCCTGAACACAAGGTACCGAAATAATTCAAACTGAGCAGCGCCATTGGTGTGGTGGCTGCTGGGGAGACAAGTGGGCCTTTAACCATCTTGTAGCTACCACCAGAATCCACATGAAATAAATTTTAAAATTTAGGTGAATCTCTTTATATATCGCTATTTTTATGTTTGAAAAATTAAAAAATCTACCAAAATTCTATAAGGGCGAGTTTTTGTCCATATCATATATTTTTTGGTCATACAGTGCACCCTCGAAGATTCGGACTAAAAGGAGGATCACCTGTGCGAAAAAGCAGATTGTTGGTTCCTTCCGGCGAATGTACTAAATGTATAAAAACGACAATATAAAAAACACCAAAAATACAGTTCCGTATTTTATGGCATATAAGACACCGCTTACCCCCCCCCTATTTCAGCAGGGAGTATTTAGGAAAAAACTTTGTGTGGATTTTCCTCCTATAGCCATAGTTTTCTTAAAATAATATATACAATACCAGGAAATGTGAGATTTAAATAAAAATAATACCAATAAATAAGTTACAACCCAAAATACTGTACTGTATTGACAAATCAGTACATAAAAGCCAAAAAAAAGTTTAACACAGTTGCCATTTGCATACACTCCCTGCTTCACCGTAGGGCGTAGTAATGAAAACCAGGTGGGACGCCGATTCCGTAGCAACGCTCCCCCCCCCCCTACACTCTGTGCTCTTGTCCCGTTACGTGTTTGCCCTTAGGACAATTATTTCTTTTACCTTTTTTCACAATATGTTTGTAGAATGGTGTATGTATGTATGTAAGTGAGTGAAAATAAATGAAGAAAGTTACTTATATCTACCGGAAAAATATGAGGTGAAAAACAACCATAACACCAAATAGCTTGGCCGAGTAGCCTGATGGTTACAGTGACGAGTCTAACCTGGCTACAATGCCATTATTAATCACTAATAATAACAGTAAATCCAGTGAAATATTGCAGGGAGTGAAGAGAGTTACAAGAGCAGACGACGCTCTAACTATTGGTCACTCAATCTTTCCCACTGCCAGGCATACGATTGAAATACATATCTTGTAGTCTAATTTGAAAATGGTGATGGGCACAGTGATAAACAAATTATATGAACCATTCATTGACCTACGATAACATAAGAAACATTGTATCATTACTAGAGTGAATAAAATAATATTCCCACAAACAACAATTGACAACTTTGTTTATGTTTATGCCTTGGGCACCTGTGTCATGCGCACTAACATCTTAGTTACACGAGCCTAAGATGATCTTTGCTCTGTTTTGGGAATGCTTCTTAGGGAGGCTTCTTAGCCCCTGGAACCCCCAAATTTTGTCTGAATTTTCCGAAATCCGGATTTACTGGGTCTGAATCTTCGAGGGTTCACTGCAATTTCAAAATTTCATGAGGGCGAATTTCCATAACCGGAGATTCCGTATCGCGGGACTGCCTATATACCATACCTCATCTGACACTTGTTGTGACTTTTCCATATACAAAGCTTGCTTAACATATATCATTATTCGCTCAAGTAATCATGTTCACAACTTTCTGATGAACAGAAAAGACACTGAAGGAAAAATATTAAATTTCTGGAAGCTGTGCAACTCACACCATGATGCAGAGACCCTTCTAATGTTCTAGGTGTCTTAAGAGGTGTTGAAAGGGTGGGAAGGTGTTATAGACCCAGATGTCACTAAAATACATTCTTAACCCAGGGAACAGACCCAAGATACACTAAAAATAACAAACCTTTTCTTTCAAAACCTTCTCTTTCATATCTTCTTCTTCAAAAATTTTTTCCAAAAGTATCCTGTGTTGTTCTTGTAAGACATGAAGATCATCCTCTAGATGACCATTAGTTCGCAAAAGTTTGTCATGGGCTTCGTCTAATCTAATGGCCTTGTTCTTGACAACTTTCAGCTCTTGATACATTTGAGGAAGTTTTACCTGTTGACATGATATAATGTTAGAAAATACCTATTTCTTAACATTTTACATAAATAACAAATGTACAGTAGTTATCTCTTATAAGACCTTTCCTTCTGTTACCACATGCTTGAGATGGATCATGGAAAACAAAACCTTAAAGCTGGTATGAAATGGTATGGGAGAGTGGTACAGGGGGCCCCCAAATTTGCAGGGGGAGTATTTTCCCATTATTATTTATTTGTATGTGTTTTATGTGTGTGTCTACACACACACATATACACAATACAGGTAAAGGAAATTACTGTCTTTAGAACGAATGGCTGCCTGTCCCAGCCACGAAAATGCCGGCAACTTTAAAACTACCCACAGACATTCTTGGGTACATCCAGAGTGTCATCCACGAATCATAGAGGACTGTGAAATAAAAATCCGCGAATTTTGGGGGCCCCCTGTATTGGCAGGCAGGAAAAATACACAAAGCCACAGGAACTAGTTGAATCGAGAAGAAGAAACACCCCCATATAAACTCCGTTATGTGATTCACTTGCACTCTGACTATACAATGTAATTTCTTAATCTACTCACTGCTTCATATCACTCTACTCTGTACAGAATCATATAAATCATTCATATTCATGTTAACACTATACAGTAGTTTCTAAAGCAACTTAATATATGGTCTAAATGTTATTGTTTTTTTAAATATATTTTACATATTGCCCATCACAAGTTTGCATTTACAAAAACCTCTTATAGACACAACCTTGCATATATGCTGTACATGGATCTACTGTATATCCTCTACAAGTTTATATTCTCACACTGATTGATCGGTTAAAATATCTGGCGTCGCAGCCTGTGGCCATTTGACGCCAAAAATGAAATTCATAAGTTAAAACTATGATATAAATAAATTATATCCTTTAAGTTTAAATATCAAAATTAAAATAATATAAACCCCATATTCATCTAAAAATCACAAGCTGTACCTCTATTGCAATTAAAAATTTAAAAAGTCCACCATCAGGTACTGAACTTCTCTTGCTGAGCACCTCCTGCTGGCACTCCGCCAGAAATTGAATCCTCAAAGCCCCATGATTGATTAATGGATGGTGGTAATTACATCCATGACAATGCAACAGCTTAGGTCATATGTTCCTGAATTAAAATTACGGCTTTAAAGGCTAAAATCAAATAATGCAAGGTAAAAAGCATACCGGTAAGTAAGAAATAACATTGAACTTTCATAAAAAACACTTAACATTAATAGAAAAAACTTAAACTTGTGTAGAAGGCCGGCTTCCTCCACAAAGGAGAGGACGTCCCCTCCCACACTACCCACTCCCCCCGCCAGCACCAAGAGAGATGGTAAGACCCGTATCCCCTTCTGGCAATGGGAGAGGTGCTTACAACGAAGATTCTGAGACTGGGGCACTCTACCAGGAGGTGTCAATGGGACCAGGCAGTCATCACAAGGGGGAGGGGGCACCCTCTCCATTAAAAAACCATGAGTCAGCCATGTGGGGCCAATGCAGAGGCGGGTGGCATGACAGTAGGGTGGATGTCGCAGAGCTTGTTTGTTCCAACTGCATCCCACCTGCAATTCCAAATCGAGCAGATGGCAGCTCTTATTACTGGTTCCATATCAGAGGCAAGTAGATGGAATAATATGCCACAGGGCGAGAACCAGCATTGTCAAAGAATCAGCACACTCATTCCCCTTCTCCACACTGTCCGGAACCCAGCAAAAACGGACTTTCTGGGCCTGACGTTGGATGAGAAACAGCCACTGTAATATATCTATAACTAAGGGATGTGGCGATGAGATACTAGCTAAGGCCTGGAGAGCACTATGAGAATCACTAAAAATTTTTAAATTGCTATGAGGTTGGATAAAAATAATCTTGAGAGCAAGTAAAATACCCAAAAGCACTGAAGTAAAAACAGATGCCAAAGCAGGGAAGACTACCATCCCGACAGAAATCGGGAAAGACCACCCACAAACCCACCCCTGCAACTGACTTAAAGCAGTCAGTGTATACAGGGATAGTCCCTCTGTGAGAGGTGTCATGCTCTAAAATAGAGAATGAAGCACACAGGGAGGGAATAAATCCTTCCTTTTGTTAAAATATTGACAGATTGAACTTCAGGGAGCGGCACTAGGGAACCGCAAGGGGCATATCTGAACAGGAGGAAGACAGAATACTCACAACCTCCCTCACCCTGACCAGCCCCATGACTGGGACACTCTACCACCAAGTGTAGTACAGTCAGTGGCACCAGGTCGTCATCACAATAGGGTTGTGGTCCTCTGGCCATAAGGAAACTGTGGGTGAGGTGGCCTATATGCAGACGGGAAAGGGCAGTCTCACTGTGGCGGGGCATCCAAGGATATTCCCACAGATATATATCATTGTTGTAATCTCTCGTAACTTGTTCTTGGGAATGGATAAACTGTCCCACTGTAGCTGCCAGGAGGCAGCAGACTTGGACACCTTGTAAGCTCTCTCATTACCTTGCACACATATGAGCAGTCAGATTTTGGGCCATTTGTATAAACATGCACTGAGTCATTATGCCGAGTTGTATGATCCTGGAAATACATTCTGGCCATCATTTCAGTAACATTAGCCTTGCTTCATGGGAAATAACAACAAAAGAGCACCTCTGGTAAGTCCCACGGGGCCACAGTTGGCACCTTCACTAGGGTGACCAGGAGTTGAAGAAGTGATAAGTTGTCAACCATTTCCCGGACACGAATGCCAAAGGATCGGGGAAGACGTGGGTGAAGGGTTAATCTATGGTCCATATATCTATCAGATATGGCCTCCCATGTTGAAGATCCAGGGAGATGCTGTACTTGGTACTAGCAGTGAGCCATTAAAGACTGCTGATGCATATCCAGTGGTGGTACACCAGCATCCACCAGAAGACTGGGTATTGGGGAGGATCTAAAGGCCCCTGTGGCTACACGGATGCCAGCGTGATGTATAGTATTGATGGTCTTTAGCCTGGCTGGTGTGGCTGAAGAATACAGCTCACATCCAGACTTTGTTACTTCAGTCAAAGTATTGTTACATTGGCTAAATGTTACTCAAGTAAAAGTAAAAGTATTTAAACTTTAATGTACTCAAATAGAAGTAAAAAAAATCTCATTCATAAAATACTCAAGTACTGAAAGTAAAAAGTAGTAACAAAATAATTGTCTCAAATATTAAAATAAATCCACAGTAAATTAAAAAAACTAGTTAACTAAAGATAAAAATAAAAGACACATAGCAATAGTACACATGTTTATTTGCAAATCTTTCTATTGAGATTAATGAAAAAGTGATTCTCAAAATTATGGCTGTCCAATCAGGATCTTTTAGGACGAAATATAAACTCACCATGACCTACCGAAAGAGAATACTTTCAGCCGCTCTTCTCCCTACAATCCATCGCAGGAAAATATATCCATCCAACACTATTATCACTTTCTTCCTTATCCATACAAGTATCATCGACGTGGATTTATGGTCTGCAGACATAATGTTGGTCTCTGCTCACATTAGGTTAGGATACAGACCTATCTGGCATGTACCTGAGGTGGGGGATGACTCGCACTTCTCTCCCTGTAAACTCTGTAACTGTCCCAACACTAACACCTTCAACACTACTGTATTGCCTTGATTGTCCCACAGTCAAGGACCTTCTACCACAGGACAAGTCACTAACCACTATATGTCACCACCAACTTATTCAGAATAATTTAGATTTAATTCTTGTACGCTTCCCACGCTTTGGTGGGTCCTAACTCCCATTGTCCTTAAATCATATCAATATTGTCTCCATACCACAAGTCACAGCGTGTCCTGCAAGAAACGAGTACCAATGTATTAGTGTCTGACCGCATGGTCTTTTGACTAGGCTTATCTCCCCGTGGGGCCTAATAAATTAATTAAATACATAATAAATAATAAGCCCAACATGACTAAACTGACGCTCACAAGCAGCAGATGCAGGTAGTGGGGTACAGTATTAAGCCTGAGAGATAAGTCACAATGTCGGGAAAGACCTCAGTAGCTCCATTCCATCCCCTGGGTATTCCAAGTGGCTATCAAGCTCCTTCAGTTGAGGAGTTTGTGGGTAAATGCTGTCTCCATAGTGACTAAGTCTGACTAAGACTTAGGATGTGGCTGTGGTGATGTCACATTTCAATTCTAACTGATAAGTGGCTGAATTTTTTGCACCACGTAACATCTGGTGGGTGCGGGGGGGTAACTTAGTTATTTAAGCAGAATTTTAAACACACTCAGTCTCACACATACGTATAGATACAGGCTTTATATCTAAGATGGAATAATGTAAAGCATTTTAGAATCACAACCTCTTTGAAATTCATATAAGGGACAGGAACATGCAAAGAGCAACTAACATCTAACAGGAAGAATAAGCCCTTGAAGGAAAGGTGGGGGAGAAGTGAGGGGATGAGAAGGTAGGCTAGGTGAGGTGGGTGGTCAAGGTGCTAATGGACACAAGAAGATCAAAGGGAAAGTCCATTGACATGGCCACTGCCACCTGTCTTGACGTCACGTCACGTCACCTCATCAGACCTCTAGTTATGCGGCTGCGTGGTATCTCCCCACACCCATACTGCACCCTTCAAGGCTTCACCCACACAACTGTTTTACTATGGTTAATAATTAATTAATAAATTTAAAATATATTATTTGTCACAGACATTACAGACAATATTACTTAATCTACAGTTGACCCTCGTTAAAACGGACTAATAGGGGGGGAAGGGTGTCTGTTTTAGCCAATTGTCCGAATTAACCGATTTAGGGGTTAATATTGCATAATATTGCATTATACAGTCATGCGCCGGTTAATGTCCTAGATACGTGCTTGTGTTTGTACAACCGCTTTCATTCAGACCCACTAAAGATATAATGTTATGGTAATTATCAGAAACACACATAGGCATGACTAGGTTTATTACAAAGTGATGAAAAGGATACTGTACAGTGGGTAGT